CCCCCCCTTAAAAAAAAAAGAAAAAATATTTTCTTCTATCCTACCGCCTTTATCAATTCGTCTTGGCAATTGGTTTAAGTGCTAATACTAAGCTTAACAATGTTTTCACTATAGTATGTGACTTCGTGCAAACTTTTGGAACTACTGAACGGGGCAAAGTGTGCCGGAGGGTTTAAATGATTTAACAATTAATTACTAATTAGTTGTTGTAACGACTTCCAGTTGGGTTCATTGTAATTCTTGGAAGTGTAATTTACAGATACACGTTATAAATATAGGAAAAAATCGAAAGAAAATAATTCAAAGAAGGTAAAAAACAACCAAGAAAGAACTTTCGGGGCAAACACAATTTCCCCTGGGGTTTTTTTTTGCGCTAAGTTTACTTACTTTAACATGGAAAAAGGATGCACATTTTATTGGAGCTACTAAACACAAAATCACCAGTTGATAGAAATGAGCAGAACCAAAAATCAAAACGAACAAACAAACGAAACAAAACAAAAACAACCAAAAAGCAAATCAAAATAATAATTGATATGGTTTTGGTGCACTACTGTACACTCAAAGCTATATGAATATCTACTCAAATTGCATTATATAAAAGTTTTTCAAAACGGACGGGTGAAGTCATAGAATTACACAGTAGAACATGGTTATAGCGGGACTTTTAGTTCCAGAAGAAAAATCCCGCTGAAGGTAAGTTCCCCCTATAGGAATGCACAAGAGAATAACCGAAAAATCACACACTACACGCTCTCTCTCTCTTTCTCCGTACCACCTCTCTCTGTCGCCTGCTACACCTCACTAATCACTGGACTGGCCAGTCACAATGCCGAACCACTAACTGCCTGGTTGGAGCCCACCTACAATCCCCCACCCCCAACCCTTTTCCCCTGCAAGAGCTCGCTCGATCTCTCCCGCTGTATCCAAGTTCGGGCCTTTTCTTACCCTGTTAAACCCAAGCACAGTTAATTGAGTTTACATAGACAAAATAAAGGGGTTACGGTAAATTCCCGCTCTAGGGATGGTCCCGTTGCAGCGGGTGCCGCTATAGTCATGTTCTACTGTATCGGCTAAAAGCAATTGGATATTCTCAAAAGAACTGTTAAGGAGCAACGCCATTATTCCCAGAGACCCATCCGACGATAAAGATGATCCCTGCTGCCAGGCTAAACAGTTCTCCAACAATGCCGAGAGCAAACGAATAGCCAAGGTCGGTATCTGTCGAAAAGGCGTCATTAATATCCGCTGCCCAGATGATGACGGCGATGAGGAAGAACAAAACTGGGGAAGATAAGATAAAATATGATAAGATAAGATAAGATAGGATAAGATAAAGTTAGAACTCCGAACCAGTTTCCTTCCAACCCCCCCCTCTCTCTC